AGAAATTAAGGAGCAGCCTGGATGTGAGCAACCGTCCCAATTATGAACATGTCCCATGTATAATATTTTAAAGCTCCACCTCCTGTAAGCAACCAAACTATTCTTAAAAAAGCATTACGGATACTGATTGCACCCAATTGACAGAGATGGACATGGGACGCAGGTACTACCAAATAATACAGACCATCTCATGAGAACCAGGAGCAGAAGTAGGCTATTTAGTCCATCAAGTTTGTTTCACCATTCAATAAGGTCATAGATAATCCGATTGTGGCCTGAACTCCACTTTCCTGTCTGTACCCCATAGCGCTGAACTTCTTTTGCTGGTCAAACTCAACCTCGAGTACATTCAAAAATACATTCAACCTCCATTGCTGTTTGGAGTAGAGAATTCCAAAGAATAACAAGCTCTGGGAGAAGAAATTACACTTCTGTCCTAAATGGAAGATCCTGTGTTTAATTATATGAGCCACACCCATTCTAGGTATCCTCAAGAAAACAACCACCAGGACCCTCCGAATCTTTTATGATTCAATAAAATTCATCATTTTATTCTTCAAAACTCCAATAAGTGAAGGTCTTCATAAAACAAATCCCTTCCTCCCAGAAATCAGCCAGGTTAACCTTCTTTATACTGTCTCCAAAGTAAATAAACTTGTTACCTCACCTATCCTACTGTTTTCAACCTATGTCATGCTTGTACTGTAGGCTTTAATCTTTCACTCCCTTGTCTCAATAAAACACAAGCCTAATTGTTCTCTTACCCCATATCCTAGAATAGGAATCTGAAAAGGGCCTTTTAGGGTACCATTAACATCAATCTGGCTGACTACTGCCACTTATACAGTTGACTTTTCAAATGAGAGTCTGTCTGAGTAGAACTTGCACTGCCAGAGAGCACAGGGACTGTGCAATAAAACTTTAGGGCTTACATTTGGTTCTGAAAAAGATGGGCCGGCCCCCGCCAAGTGATTCAAATAGGCGAAGTAATGCTGTCAGCAAATGGAAACAGTAATGAAGAGTGGTGAGGCAACTGGTGAAACACCTCTGGATGCAAAAAAAAATTGGATCACATTGACCACTTTATCTACAACTTGAGCAGAACCTTGAACACTTGTAAAGAGAGCACCGAATAGGTCACTCTTAGTTGATCACTGTCTACACAGCCCTCAAACCCTGCTGATCTGAAATGAGGAAGAGAGACTGAGTAACTCGAGGAAGGGAAAGGGAGAAACAAACTTGAGACGTGTACAGGCAACAGAACCAGGGTGGGGCACCATTTGCTGGCACAGTTTAAAAAGTGCACATGCCGTCACCAGGCACGATACATTAGGCAGCAACATCATAGTGTCCCTGGTTGCCTGAGCATTTATCGTGAGAGGTGTTGGAATGTTTCCTGGAGGATGGCTGGTCCTTGAATTCCTGCTGGCAGGCCTGCTTTCAATCAAGCATTTGCATTGAGTTCACTTGGCAGGCTGGATGGAACTTTTGCTGGGTTGGGCTCTGGCCAATGCATCATATTTTAGAATAACCTGAGATTAAAGGAACAAAATTAAATTGTATGTGAAAATCTTCACATGACATTGGTAGGAGGCAATGTTTATCATGTAAGATGGAAGAAAAAAGTGTCAGAGACAGAGGCAACCTGAGTGAGTGGGAAAATCTATAGCGGATGAAGGTCAATGTTGGAAAGCAATGACCTGGAATCCAAGAAAGACTCATCAGAATATTTTCTTAGGTAAGACATTAAATTTGTTCAAGGACCATAGCAATTTAAGTATCCATTCTGATCTCCCTGCTATAGGACAAATGTTGTGAAACTTGGAAAGAGTTCAGAAAAGATTTACAAGGATGTTGCCAGGCTATAGGGAGAGGCTGAATAGGCTAGGGCTATTTTCCCTGGCGTGTCGGAGGCTGAGGGGTGACCTTACAGTGGTTTGTAAAATCATGAGAGCTGTGGATAGGGTGAATAGTCAAGGTCTTTTTCCCCAAGGTAGGGGATTTAAAAATACAGGGCACAGGTTTAAGGTGAGAGGAGTAAGATTTAAAATGGGCAGTATTTTCACAGAGCGTGGTGTGTGTATGGAATGAGTTGCCAGAGGATGTGATGGAAGCTGGTACAATTACAACATTTAAAAAGCATCTGGGTGGGTATATGAATAGGAAGGGTTTAGAGGGATCTAGGCTGAATGCTGGCAAATGGGACTAGATTAATTTAGGATATATGGTCAGCATGGACAATTTTGACCGTAGGGTCTGTTTCCATGCTGCACAACTCTATGACAATGACTCTAAATCACTTAAAGCTAGCAGACTTGGTGCACAAAGTAACCAAACCGCTAATGGCATATTGGTCTATATCTTGAGAGTTTTGGGAATCAGAAGGAGGAATTATGCTTCCAATGGACAGAACCTTGGCCAGATCTTGAGTAGATATTATATCTCAAGAAGAATATATTGACCTTACAGGTGATGCAGCACAGATTCACTAGAATGATACTGGAGCTCAGCGGATCAGGAATAAGGGAAGGTTCCAGAAATTTAAATTGGCTTGTCTTCAATATAGAATGTCCAAGTACAAAATTATCTTGTTTAACATGATTGAGTAGGGTATATACAGAGAAACTATTTAATCTAGTGGCTATTTTTTTTAAAAGTAAAAGTTAGGTAATTTTGTAGTGAAACGTTAGTAGAAATCTGAAACACTTAAAATTGACCGAACTATTTTTTGAGAAACTTTAAAAACTGATGGCTTTTGTTTTGTGGGGTATGTGATGTGGAGTGCATGTGAACAAACGAATTTGAGGTAGAAATCAGATGTGATTGAATTCAATGCCATAACTGATTCAAGGCTGAGTGGTCCCTTTTCTGTTCCTGTTTACTATTGTTATGGAATTTGCTTGATTATACCTCCTAATTTGATTACCTATCTTACTAAATATCCCTTAAATTTCTAATAGTTAGGAAGAAAACATTAAATTATCTTCTCTAAATTTAATTGAGAAATGTTATTTGTACCTTTGCAGTTCCAAAAAGAAGTTGTATTGTCATTACAGTATCAATCCTTGTTAAAGTCATATGATTATGAGGGACCAAAGAGTAGCAACTACCATAGCCAATGCGAAATGAGATTTTTCATTTTCTACAGACCAATCATAATGCATAAAAGAAAAAGATTTGATGGAATTGGTCATATTATTACTAGGGACCAATCAAGGCTGTCAAATCTCCTACCAGATACATGGAGAGAACTGGATTGACAGGTGCCTGAAGCATTCGAAGTCTATCATATGATTACCTACGGCCAATGATAGAAGTAGAATGGTCACTTGATCACCATTGGCAGATGAGATTGTGAGAATGTGTTGCTAACGGTAAGATTATGATGAATTAACCCCAAAAGACCTGTTTTTGTATAATTTAGAAAGTAGTTGTAGGATGTAGCCTATCATAAGAAATTCCTAAAATTGATCGTCGGTTGCTTGTATTTCCTCAATCCAAATTTTGAAGAACTAACAAGGCAAAATGATGGAAGGTGACATTGAAGATAACAAAAGGTAATAAAGCATACATGCAAGACTCTTTGACGATATGCAATCACCTGTGGCTTGTGTTTCTTTCCATCATTAAAAAATATTAACATTCACTTTTGGTTTGGTATGATTACACACCAGCTAGTTTCTCAATAATTTAATCAAGAGGTTGTTTATAGGGAAGCTGTAATGTGTGTTTGCAAATGATTTGTGTTGATTTGTGCATGGGGGTGGTGCTGTTGGGGGTTTGTGGCTTCTCAGCTACTATTGACTGTAATGTGATTTAACACCGATATGCTAAAGATCATTTACACTTTGTAAGCTAGATTAATTTAGTTTACAATGAAAGATAGTTTGCAATTTGTAAACTCAATACAATGTTTAGGGATTTCTACTTCAGGCATTGAAATTTCAAGAATAAATCCACACCATCATAAAGTAGGAGCCATGGCTACTTTCTTTCTTGTATCTTAATGGCGGACCCTACTAAACCCAGCTGATTCTGCAAAATTCAGGGTTCGAGCCTGGGATCTTCCTGATCAATGTGATTTAGCTATTTGTTCACTAAATCTATTAAGTTGTAGCCCATTGAAATGTTTCTTTTTGCTTCAATCATTCTTTGCTCCTTCTATAATATTCATTTATTTGCATCTATAATTATACAAGTTTTTTAAAATTATAATATGGTTAGAGTTCACTAATATTTTTACATATGCTGTCGATGCTTTTTAAGTCATAAAATTGAATTGGAAAGAACAAGATGGTAAAGTGTAGAATAAGATATTGCCAATTTATTTCAGCATGCACACTACCTATGACAATATGATCCAAAGTTTTCATCTAGACATTAAAGAAGGAAGATGTAATTACCCCAAAATCAATAGCCTGCATCAAAAACAGCATATTTGCAATGATTAGCTGTTTTGTGTAAGATGTAGATAATACTTCTGCAGTGCATCTGTACATTGATAACTAATTTTTAATATTGTTGAGAAATGAGCATGTTACCAAAGCTTTTCGTCTTGCAGGGCAAACAGAAGAATACCAACTTTCAAAGGATCACAACAACTTATACTAAAGGAGAAATGGATACTGGTTAGTTGTTTGGTGCTTCTGGCACTTTTTGGAAGTGACATATGATCACAAAGCCACGTGTTGCTTTTGAAATATCTGGGAGCTTGGAGAGACCATCATTCCCCATTATTTTCTCCATGGCAATGCCACAGTCAGTCAGTGTGAACTTGTCAACCAATCAGCATTGTTTTCTGCCATGGTATAATTTGATGTGATCTTTTGAAATTTGACACTTTTGCATTTGTCCTGAAAATCCAAGATGAAAATCTTTGGCAATATGTCTCTCTCTTCAACAGTATTCAAGTTCTGTAATTCTTGAATGTTTCCCTTGTTCGAAAATGTTCATGTTTACATTGAATTAACATGTCTTTTTCTCCTTCCCAATTATTACAGGTTCCTATAACATTTGTGGATCGGGTGTATGGTGAATCCAAACTGGGAGGAAATGAAATTGTGTCATTTTTGAAAGGACTGCTGCATCTGTTTGCTACTACATAATCAAAACTAATATTTAGTACTGAAATGTTCTTTGGCCAGAATGCCTTGAAACTAGATTTGTGTATTTCGTTATTTCACAATTTCCTTGTAAAGTCAGATTTTATATTTGTATAAATCTGTAGCACATTCGGTAAGTGAACATTTGTAAAATATAACTTGAGATAAAATAAATCTAGTCTTTAAGTCTATTAAATATTAATTTTGCTTCATTTAATGCTAATAATTCTACCACTTCCATAGGCTATACTGCTGTATTATTTTATATAGTTTAAGAATTCAATTGTGGGCTTATGATTTATTATGAACACAATATGCCATTTCTAATATTTTGCTTTTCAGTCCTCCAGTGAAACCAAAAGAACACATACTAAGATAATGGATGTCTCTCACTTTTGTCAGATGTGATTTAATCAAACTTCCTCAGTAACTTCATTTTAACAGATATACTTCATTACTATAGTAGTTTAGTGCAAACTTCTACATGTAAACTAGGTTCTGATTGAGAATGAATTCTCTCACACTCTGTAAAACAATGTATAAAAGTAAAACATCCAGGGTTATAAAAGTTTGTGTAACTTAATTTCAATCTATAAAAATTCCATTTAGCAGAATAAAGCAATATAGTAATTTTACTAAAGGTTTCCAATGTCTTTTTCACTTAATTTTCTCTATTTAGATGAGTTGGATTTAATTAAAGTAATTGTACATTTTTATTCCAAGCTTATTTGATCCTTCATGTTTCAGAAGATAAAGGCTAAAATGTACACAAATGTCCATGTCAACATCTTTAATACAATTTCCTCTTCTAAAGTGATGCATCCAGTAGGCTCTAGGTTCATTTCTTGTATTATCCTTGGATACTTTATTGCCTCAATAATTCCAACCACCATAATTTTTTTTTTCTCTAGATCTAACTACATAATTCAGGGATTGCTGGAAGAACTCAGCAGATCTGACAGCATCTGTGGAGAGAAATCAGAGTTAACATTTCAGGTCAAATGACCCTTGGAACTTATGGCAGTTCAGAAAATATTGGTTGATATGCAGAAGATAGGGTGGGGGGAGGGGGTAAGGAGTAAATGATAGGTGGGGATAGAGCCCAAAGAGAGAGAAGAACAGTTGGACAAAGGAGTCAATTACGGTCTGGCTAGTGGGTGAATACCTATTAATGGGCACTGTTAGTGGCTAATACATCACCCATTATTAGCCACTAGCAGTCCCCATTAATAGTTATTCTCCTAGCCATATCGTTATCCACTCCTTTTGTCTGTTCAACTGTTGTTCTGTCTCTCTTTGGGCTCTATCCCCACCTACTGTTTACTTCTTACCCCCTGCCCCCTCCAACCTATGTTCTGCATATAAACTGACATTTTCCTAGCTACCATCAGTTCTGAGGAAGGGTCACTTGACCTGAAACATTAACTCTGATTTCTCCCCACAGATGCTGCCAGACCTGCTGAGCTTTTCCAGCAAATTCTGTTTCTATTTCTGACTTCCAGCATATGCAGTTCTTCCAGTTTTTATTTCACAGAGAGCTAACTCTTAGAACTATCCAGATGCCACCACTGAATTAACAGGCAAAGGCACTCGTGTGTTTGTTTTTTGGTTTATTACCTCATCTTCAAATTAGTGAAGTTCCTAGACTCTACTTGGCATCTCCACCAGTCTGGCTGTGAAACTAGCCGTGGTTGGAATAACAGATGTAAACCATTGCTATATCTCTCCATAGCGTCACATTTTAACAAAAGTTGAAAATGCACAAACTGTGAACAAGTTAACTATGATTTTTACTTTCAAGTTAGCATATTTGGAATGCACTGAATTATTCAGTTTTTCATATTTTTCTAGTTAATTATGTATTCAAATAGGGTGCACAAATTTTAATCTCAATCTTGCATTATTTCAGGTTATCAATGAAAACTGCACAGGTACGTTTACTGCATAGACTCATTGGAAAAGCAGGTGCATGTTCGCTTAACTAATCTGTGTTGCTTCAAATGGTGCTTGAGAATACTGTAACTTAAATTCTTGACTTCTTTCAACTTCTTAGATTGACATAAACATATCTTCATTCGAAACAGGCAAAACCAAATAATTCTTTCATTAAATTTTAATAAAATTTGGTCAAATGTTGGTTGCTTCTTGAAAGTCTTTTCAAATGACTGAGCAACCTTGAAAGGTCAACAGGCTCTTCCTGATCCTACTTGTTATTTCCTTTTTTCCCTCTTGTTACTACCTCATGTACTTATTTATAGTATAACACTCAGCATGTTCTCTTCATGATCTGAATGTTACAGTAATCTGGGTAGTGGAGTCCAATATTCTGAGGCTTGATTTTTAGGCATCACTTAGTTGGCATCAGACCTGCTTCCCGGTCCTCTGTCCAATCCTGGACCATTTTCTTGGTAGGATGTGGGCAGGACTGTTCATCTGTGACAGTGAATTCACTAAGGTTATTACTAGTCCAGTAAAGCCATTTGAAGATTAGGAACCAGGATTTTCCAGTTATCCTCCAGGTCCTTGCAGGCATCAGGGCCCTTTTAACTACTTAAGGTTGCACATTAGAGGAGCAAATTCCTTCCCACTTATAAGTAGTCTGGGTGCAAAAGCTATTTTTTGGTTTAGATAATTTGGAGGGTAGCTCCATTTTGAAGCATCATCAAACTCATTCACCTTCCATTGCAGATTGCTGGTCCTATCAACTTGGAAGGCCTGTGTCTGGCTCTCCACCCTCGAGCCCATCCATCGCCCATAATTGGAAGGTAAATCTGCCCTCTTGCCATTCTTAGTCAGCCCTGGGGAAAATCAAAATGAGTGATTGATTGTTTCTTGCACTGTGCAGGCTTCTGACCTACACATCAGCCTCACAGTAGGGTTTGAAAGCCCTGCAGAGAAAATCCTGACCTTGGGAGTACAACGTCAAGGCAGTGAAAAGTAGGCTATTGATATGTTTTTGATCCTCATACTGAGTTCCTATCCTTACACTTAATATTCTTTCATAGGGTGTCACTGGCTAGGCCAAAATTTATTGCCCATCCTTAGTCCTTCAGAATGTGGTAGTGAGCTACATTTTTGAACTGCTGCAATCCGTGTGCTTGAGAACACTCTCAGTGCTGTTAGGGTTGGAGTTTGTGGATTTTGACCTAATGGTGGTGAAGGCACAATGATGTATTTTCAAGTCAAGATAGCGTGTGGCTTGGATGGCAACATACCCATTGTTACTGCCTGCTCCTGCAGAACCCATCTCTTCTTACCTTGACTCAGTTTTGTTTCTCCCCTTGTCCAGTCCCTTCTCACTTACATCCATGATTCCTCCGGCACTTTATCCGTTTCAGAATTTCCAGTTTGTGGGCTCCAGCCACCTCCTGTTCACCATGGCGTGCAATCCCTTTACACATCATCCCCTATCAGAGTGGTCTCGGGGTTCTCCGCTGCTTCTTGGGAGATAAGAGGTCTGAACCATCCCCATCCACTACAGCCCTTCTCCATGTGGCTGAGCTCGTCGTCATCCTGAACAACTTCTCTTTTAACTCATCTTACTTTCTTCAGGTCAGAGGGGTGATTAAGGGTACCCTCATGGGCCCCAGGTACGCCTGTCTCTTTGTGGGGTACGTGGACATTCCTTGTTCCAGCCCCCACCCACAATTCTTTCTCCATCATATTGACATCATTGCTGCTGCTTCCCCTTCTCATCCACAATTGGAAAAGTTTATCAATTTTGCTTCCAATTTCCACCCCACTCTCACCTTCACCGGGTCCACCTTTGACTCCTCCCTTCCCTTCCTTGACATTTCTATTTCCATTTCTGGAGATAGGCTGGCCAACAATATCCACTACAAACCAACTGACTCCCACAGTCACCTTGACTATACATCCTCACACCTTGCTTCCTGTAAAGACACTATTCCATTCTCTCAGTTCCTCTGTCTCTGTTGCATTTATTTTGATGATGCCAAATTTGACAAGGGCCACTGATGTATCCAGATATTTGAGTTCTGAGGAAGGGTCACTAGACCTGAAAGGCTAACTGATTTCTCTCCATAAATGCTCCCAGACCTGCTGAACTTTTCCATCAATTTCTATTTTTGATACAGATTGTGTATTCCCATGCACCTAGAAGAACCACCTTGTTCTTCTAGGTGGTAGAGATCACTGGTTTGGAAAGAGCACATGTTGAGTTTCTGCAGTATATCTTTTAGATAATTCACATTATTGCCAATATGCGTGATTGGTTGAGTGAGTGAATTTTTAAAATGGTGGATGTGATGCCATTCAAGCAGGCTGGTTTGTCCTGGATGGTATTAAGCTTCTTGAGTTATTGGAGCTGCATAAATCCAGGCAACTGGAGAGTATTCCGTCACAGTCTGACTTACGACTTTTAACAGTGGACAGATACTGGAGAATCAGGAGCCAAGTTACTTGTTAAGGAATTCCCAGCTTCTCATCTGTTTCTACAATCATATTTGGCTTGTGGCTGGCCCAGCTGAGTTCCGGGTCAATGGGAACCATTTCATCTCAATGTTGATAGTAGAAGATTCAGCAATGGTAATACCATTGACTGTCAAGGGAAGATGGTTAGATTTTCTCTTTATTGTGGGAAGTATCCATCACCCTCAATTCCCCTTAAGGACAGAAAATATGAAGGTGGAGGCATGTAAAGTCATATTTATGCTTTGTTGGCAAAGTGACTTGTATGCTGTCTCTAGAAGTAAGTGTGATACTGACTGATAATAGTAACTCATTCACCCCTTCACCCTTAAAAAAGCTAGGTTTATAAAATACTAAAAATCCAATTTTTGTTGACTGGCTCAGTAAAATCATTCAATAATACATTAATTTTAAATTTAATAATTGCAATTTGTGACAGCACTGATGTAATGCTATGCATTTTTGTGTTCATGGGAAATAATATTGTTGATCAAAGCACTGCAATATGCACAACTGTAGCAACTATGTATAGCCATTTGAGGACCAGAATTCTTATTGGTCAGTTATACTAACACTTGCAACAAAGCAATATTAGGTGAACATTGGGACAAAGTCTGTATTTATAATGGATTTCATGTTATAGATCTCTCAGCAGATAAGGTGAGGTAGTTACTAACTGGGTGTGTGTATTTCCAGTCTATACTGGCCAAAATTTAACAATTTATTTAGTCAAGAAATGTCAAAGTCAAAAAATGATTTTGGGCTCACTATGGTAGAATTAATTTTGAAAATAAATAATTAAATTGCAATTAATGAATATATGAAAATTAATCTGTATTCTGAGGTGAAACTTTGAAATGAATTATCACAACTTTTAAAAGTGAATTCCAGAACTGACTTATTTAAGCTCTACACTAGGATAACCTTACATTTCATGATGGTATACATCAAGAGAAGGTGATTACATTTAAAACCAACAGTTAAATTTTGGAGATTTAAATAACCTTTAGCTTTCTTTCTTAGATACAACTAAAGCTACTCTGCTGAATCAAAACAATGTGCTGTGTTCCCTGTTGCAATTTAAGTTCAATACATCATTGAAGAGAAATAAAGCTCTTCTCTAAAGCTGTGATTTTAGTCTCCATACTGAGTATTGGTCACTCTTCATTCAAAAGTAAGGAAATGTAACTTTAAGGTAAATTGA